CAAATCAAGGAATCCATCTTAATTGAACAAAACAACCCTACTCTAAACCAACACTCCGGGGTGCCTAGATACCTCTTCTAAGTTTCACAACAGTTCCGGTCATGTGACTTCTTTATTCAATCTGTATATATATATATCTGTGTTAGTGTAAATTACTTGTACCTGATGATGACAAAACCTTGTCGAAACGTTGTACATTTGTTGTTATGTTAAACTTATATTAAGGTTTTTCTTCATTACCCATTCAAGCTGTCTCCAGCCATTATTAGACCAAACTAAATGTCTCAAGAACAAAACTAAAGACATACTGAAAGACTTTAGAGATAACTCTAGTATCTCCTCACACCTGTTAAATAATCTCATACCTTCATACTCTAGAGCTCCCAACTTATAATGACTGCCTAAAGAACATAAAATAAACATATCTCTCAGACCTATAGTTTCTATGTGTAATTCTCCTCTTGCTCTTTTATCATGGCTTTTAGAGAAATTACTTCACCCACTTCTCAATGATATCCCTTCACACTTAAATAGTTCCCATGACTTCATCAACAGATTAAGAAATGATGACTGTTTTATTGGCCCTGACACTGTATTATTCATTCTGGCTGTTGTTGCCATGTGACCTTCTGTTCTGATAGAGGAGGGAATAAATGTGGTTATGAATCTTCTAAAATGATACATTTGATATACCATTTTAACTCATCAATAATACTCTCCTCTACATTCTGGTTAACAACTACTTTATTTTTTGATGATATTCTTTAGAAAAGCAAGGTTTTGCTATGAGTAACAATGCTGCTGTTGCTCTCTGTAATTTTTATGTACACTTTTGAAAGTTCCACAATTTTGCACTGAGAGTTTGAAATTGAACAAAAACCTGATTGGTGGTATTGCTACATCGATGACATTTTTGATACTTTGAATCATAACATTAAATCACTTTCAGAATTTTTTTATTTCTTTAACAACTTACATCCTATCATTAAATTTAGTGTTTTGCACACTGGGCCTTCTTTCAAGGTCTCAACATTCCTTCCTACCATGGTCTCTGCTGAAAATAACAAACTTGTTACCAAAATATACCACAACCCAGATTTACAAATTTGTTGATCTTACATTTCAACTGGCATCATCCATCTAATATCAAATATGGTATGATAATTGGACAACTTCCATGAATTGAAAAAAATCTGTTACACTAATGATGGTAAAAGAACCTCTAGGTTGGATTTAAGAAAATTTCTCCCAGGTAATGGTCACCCTGATAACTACATTTCTGATAGTTTTGAAAAGTTACTTATAAATGTAATTGGACAAAAGCAATTCAATAAATCATCACAGACTAAAAATGCTATCAGGTCTACCCTTTGTTGATGAATATCTTATTAAGCATTTATGCAAAGCTATCATAAATTCTGGGTTAAGTATTCATATTGTTCAAAACCTGGGGATTACACTTTAAAAAGTACTTGTTCATTCAGCTTTCAATAAGAAAACGATTGTAAATCAAAAGATTTTGCTAGAAACAATGGACTGGATGACTTGTACTGTTAAAAATGTAATATATGAAATGGCATGTACCCATGGTGATGATAAATACATTGGTGAAACTGGTTGTACAGTACATGAATGTTTTAAGGGACACATCCGTGCCACCATGAATCTGGAAACACTTTTTAAAGAAAAGTGGTACAGTAGATAAAACACCATTTAACATTAATCTCTTAGCAAATGTAATAATTTCCTTGATCATAAATTCAAAGAGTCTCTCTCCTGATTCAATCTTATAAGCCTAAAATAAATCGAAGTAATTCATGGGTTTTGTAATCTATATAAACAATTAGCTTGCATTTGTCTGTCTGGAACTTTTCCCACACATTTCTCGATCTAATACTACAAATCTCATATTATTAAACAGGCCTTTGTTGGAGGACTCCGAATTGCATATCCGCTTTTCCATTCAAAATTATGCTTATTCAGAATTTTGAATGGAATGAGCATGCTACAGAAATGACACAATATTGTTGTCATCACATAACGACTGGCTTCAATTTCAACTTTAATTTTTATTTGCAAGGTATTTCACATGAACAACACTTAATTTGTGTGTAATTACCTAAAACAAAATGAACATTACACTAAATACAATTGCTGTGGGCTTTCTCAACTTATTTTTGTCTAAAAGACATATGCACAGTTCATTTAAAACCATACGGTTATCACTTTGTGAACACTTTAGTTTGCAATAATTTAGTTTCGGTTAGTTTCATAGACTGCTATAAACACCTTTTAGCTACTTTGTTCTTTAGTATGGATTTATTCTTCATTTTTTTTAGTTTCTTTGTTTCAACCTATAAAACTGTCATACACAGAATGCTCATAACCATCTCATACTCTGTAAACTTTTATAAATACCATTACTGTTTACTTTATGTGTTGTCTTATTAAATAAAGTTACATTACTGTAGTTTTATTAAATAAAAAACAAGTTAAATGAGTGTGTTTGTTGGACCTTATAAAACTTTTTAAAATAGACCAGGTTTTATTGACCTAACACATAATGCCTGAAAGAAAGCATAACGTAAATGCTGTTAGAATGATAAAATAAGGAAAATTCAAGCAAAGGGCATGAAAATTACTGCAAATGTTTTGTGGGTTGCAGCTAGTTATTATTATTATTTCTTTTTGTTTATTGGATAGGTTGCAGTTTTCTGTCACTTAGTCATTTCAATTCAATTTAACGTGTGTGCAATAACACGTGACAATACAGGTTTATTGTAAGTCTGCATACATACCACTGTGCCACTGAGGGGCTACATTAAAGTGACTAACAAACTTCAGAAAAGAACGATTTTATTCAAACCCAACATTTCAGTTTATGTCTTTCTCAAGAGTTACAGAGTCATGTAAAAATACAAACTGATAACTGAAAAGAACACATATAACAATTTAGAGAAATAAACTAATCTGTTATTGTTTACATTAAAGTATGTTTCTTTGTTTGAAGCTAAGCACAAACCTTCACAATGGGCTATCTGTGCTCTGCCCACCATGGGTATTGAAACACAGTTTCTAGCCAACAATGTATATGTGAAGATAGCCTGTACAAACATAAGGTAACTTGTAGGCCTAAGTTTACAAACAATGCACTAACAGAAATATCTTACTACAGATACTATGACTAAGAAACAAATAAACTTACTTGTAGAATTTCATGGTAATTGGTTGAATAACTAAATATATATATATATATAATTAACACTGATTCATACACTTTACTGAATATCTGGCTTAACTGTGTAACAACTGTGTTTGGTAAGATATAGACAGTTTTTTTTTCATTCTTACAAAGTGTATTCATTTTTTTCTTTAGCTTATGAAATTTTGTTCATACTTCAGTGCAAAAACAACTATCTGAGATTGATTCTGTTGAAAATTTCTCTGGTGGATTGGGTGAAAGCAAATATAATCTTGCTGAAATGTTCATTCTGAGTCAGAATAACCATTTAGAACATAAGACTGAATTAATTTCTGTTTAACAAATCCCTAAAGGAATACTGAAATATGTTTTAAAATAATGCACTACATGTTTGTTTACACCTCACTTAAGAGTCTCATATAGGGCGATATAAACATTGTCTTTTATTTTGTCACTTTTTAGAGATTTTCTGTTAAATTTGCTGTATGAATATTATTTCAGAGGTACTCAGTCAACTCGGCTGGTTAAGTGTTTTACTTCTCACCCTGAAGAAGTGCAGTTTTATCCTTCTGAACCATTTGTTCTTGCTGCTGGGACTGTTCATGAACTTCAGCTGGTTGTTAGGCCATTACACCCTGAACACAGGTACCATAACAGTTAGTATATAGAGTAGATGTTTGTTACATGTATCCAAAACAATATATCATTAGAGTTAATATAGAGAGAAGATCTTACGTTTTTGTATTCTGTACACAGGAACCATAACAATTAGTATATAGAATAGATGTTGAAGGTGATTATTGTGTTTACAAAATTCTGATAGGTACTTCCCTCTTCTAACAAGATTAGCTGTTCTCGTTCATTCCTGCTCTCAATATACAAACTTTTATTTATGCATGCCACAAGCCTTCTTCTTCCCCCCCTATTGGAATCAAGTGATTCCAACATATCTCACATGTAAATCATCATGCATCATGTCTCCACCAATAGGAGCAAGTACACTCACATGATGCATGTGACTCCCTCTGTGCGCCTCTACCAAACTATCACTTCTCATTTGGCGGTGCTTGAACACTGACTTTTTTTGTTTATTGTCATTCTTTACTGTTTCACGTTTGTATTTATTGTACTCATGATGTGGTATTCATTTATTATAACTTCCAGATTTTCTGGAATTTGAAATTTGACTTAATTTATTCTAGTTGCATTCAAAAGCTAAAGTTACCATTTCATGGGTCACGGCTACGACTAGTGCTATCTCAGAGGCCACAGGTGTGGGTGACTCGTAGTCTGAGTGATTTTTTTAACGGTGCTTATCATCCGGGAGATTGAACTGTTACGACAGTGGGGGTCACGTGACAAGTATTCTTGAAGATTCGCTAGTGTGTTACGACAGCGGGGTCACGTGACGAAGATTCGCCAGTGTGTTGCGACAGCAGGAGTTAATTGACACTGGTAGCACGTGTTGAGAGTCTTAGAAGTTTCTAGAACAGGCAGTATTATCGTATATAAGTGTGCTAGACAGTGATAGAGACAGACGAAGTCAAAGCAGTAGTGGAGACAGAGATGTAGCGGAGACGAAGCAGGCAGAGAGAAAGAAAGACAGCGATTACGGTCGGCAGGAACTGAGGATAGCAGACAAAGAGATCGCAACTATAGTTTGCGGGGACGGACAATTAAGTCTAAGCACGATAGAAAGTGAGTGAATTGTTGTGAACTATAGTGTGGGTAACTGTGAAAATTAAGTACATTACAAAGTTGTATTGAGGAAGAATAAACAAGTTTTATAAAGAAAGGACTTGTATCTTAGAAGAATTAACAAACAAACATACAGAGACGTAACAGAACGTTAAAAAGGTCAGCCTCTTTCTTCTGTTATCGCACACAATTTCTCCTGTAGACATAAACCCTGTTCAGGTGGACGGAGATCTTTGATAGCCTTTTTCCACCACTGGATATCAAATGTTTGTTTCTTCATTTCCATTACGTAGTCTCCATTCCCAATATGGAGATTCTATGTTTTTTTGCATGTTTCTAATGGCTTTCATTCATGTTACTCCATGGACATTTTCTGTCTTATTTCATCGAGAGTTTAATTGTCTAATGTCGGTTTTTCGTCGGATCTCACCTCGTGCTTTTTGGTCCACCATTTACCATACAGTCCACCCAGTTTAGAAAGATAAGACGTTTTACAATTTTATTGTTAATATTATTATCTTTAATTATTTGAATTCCATAGCATACGGTTATTTAGATCAGTTAATACTAAGTTACGTTACGATTCATAATTAGTATTCATTGTTTTTCTTCTATACCACCCGATTAGGCTTAACATTGTATATCCTTCATTAGGTTAACTATGTTATTTCCTTACTTTTATATCATCATTTCTGTTTCATTTCGTTAATAATCTTTTTCTTCACTTGGTTTGAGTGGAACCCTTGAATCAGGGCCCACTCTCAGTATTGTGCCTATTTATTGTTCAGTTTCACTTTTATTTTCATTCTTAGGTTATCCTTTGTTCTGTACTGTACAAATAGGCTTAACAAGTGTTTTTTCATTTCGATTTCACTGTAGTTCTAGTTTAGATTTTCTGTTCACTATCTTGTTTGATTTGACTTCATTACTATATTATTTATTGGTTTGCCCGTGGTTTTATTGAGGGGTTAATATCTACTTAGGTTCCAGTTTTTCTTCACTACTACATCATACGGGATTCATTTCCTACACTGTTTTCTTCCAATTTTAATATGTTGATTAATTAATTTTGTTTTTTCTTTATAGTTTATCCTTTTACAGTTACTTTCATTTCATTTCTGCTTTATAATTATTACCATTAATTTAATTTAGTTTATAATTTATCCTTCTTACCATTATGTAGTTTATTGGTTTCCCATAGTATTATGGACAGGTTCATATCCACATGATTCTAAATTTTTTCAACTCAACATTATAAGGGATGCATTCCATACACCATTTTCTTCCTGTTTTTCACTATGTTAACCATTTCATTTTGTTTTTCTTTATAGTTTGTACTTTTTACAGCTACTTTCGTTTAATTTCTACTTTATATTTTTTACCATTAATTTTGTTTCGTTTATAATTTATCCTTCATACCAGTAATTTAAATTGATGTGTTGGTCCCTGGGAGCCGGTGTCTGCCATTAGTGTCTTCCACTAATGCTCACCTCCCCATCTAGTGGCAAAACCCGTTTTCCAACATCCTAAAATTGTCAGTTCTCCCTGACCTTATCATGGAATGACTTCCATAATCCTATTACAGAATCTTCTAGACCTCCTTTACACATTTTCAGTTTTGGTATTACAAGCCTTACCTTCTACGGGCTTTCAATTTTACCTTAGTTTAACTTCAGGCAGATTTCTTCCGGCATTTGTCATTCTTCTTTCCCCTATTGTCGCTCATATCTTTAATGTTTCCTTTTATTTAGTGTTCTGTTTACATTTCAGGTTTGTTGAGAGGTACCTCCTCTTTCTCTCTTCCATGTTGGGGTTTTTGCCATCTTCAGTTCATTCCCTCCTCGCATGACATCTTTGCTTTTGGGTTAGTATCAAGTGTGACATTGCTGTTTGTTTTCTTTCCCTTTAATAGGGTTTTATGGTGTGTTCCTTTTCTTCTCTTGTCCCTTTTTTTGGGGGCATTGCTCCTGTTTGCACTTCCTCTCTTTTCACATATTCGATCTGCTCTTTTGGGCCTCCTTGCACAATATTCATATCCTTGCATATCATGTTCTCGGTCTCTAACTCAGATTGCAGTATATTTTTCTCATTCCGACACATTCTATCCATTGGAGTGGTCTCTCAATTCTCTTGTTCTCTAGTGGCTTTGTCTTCCATGGGATTCTCCCCACATAGATCCCTTTATTACATCTCTTAACCTCCCATTACCTCTATTTGGTATTCAGTACCTCCTCATCTACCTAAGGCTATTGATGCCTTCAGCTGGGAATTGTCCCACAGATTGTAGTATGTTCATCCCCCCTCCCCATTCTCTTACTTCCATGAGTAATTTCCCTCATCCCTACCATTCTCTGTGAGGTTTCTGATTGCTCCTTAATGGCTAGCTTAACCATGATTTCTGCAACTTCTCCAGCTCCAACTTTTATCTCCACTGTGTGTTCCTTTGTCTCCTGCTCTTCTTTGTTCACCAGTACTAAATCTGGACATCACATCATTTGTCTTCACACTTTGCTCTTATTCAGTCCTCAGCAGGTAGTTTAGGTTTATACTTGCAGGTTGCTTTCTTTTAGTTTGTTCCATTCGCTCTTCTTTAGTGGGTGTTTATTGGTATAAATGGAAAGTGTTCCACAATTAATGTATGAGTGAGGGATTTCCCGCAGATCGAACCCCTGTGGCAGAGTTTCTCCCCTGGTGTTTCAACCATGGGTCTTCAATCCCCTGGATCTTAGGTTATTGGGCAGCCTTGATCCATAATTTCGTTTTTTCCCAATGCCATGGAGTTTTTACCTCACCTATCTTTACTGTGTTCGTACATTCCCTCCAGATTAGTCGTCCTCTCTGACTGCCTACCATTCTGACCTGGGAGATTCATTTGATCTTTTATTCCCTCACTTTACCTTTGTTTGCATCACTTTCCTCGTGTTCGATGTTTCACCTTCCCTTGAAGCATAATTCCTTTTACTCTATTTCTGTACATTGGATTTGTTTCCTATGATGTTTCTTGTATATTTTTCCCACTCCCTATCTTCTCCTTTATCTGGATCTTTCTTTCCTACCCAAGACATTGGTGGCTAGGGGAGGTAATTGCACCTTTTGCCTAATTCCATTCCTTTCATTTCCTATTTTTATCCTCATCCTGATTCATATTGACTCTTATGTATGGTCTGTCCTCTTTGTTATTGTATTGCCCCTACAACTTTTTTTAGTGGTGCCCACTCCCGCCTCTTTATTCCTAGGCAGTTTTCCTTGAGTCGAGATCTTTATTCTTCTACCCTCACCAGTTGTGTTTGGCTTTTGATCTTTTTGGCTTACTCCCCTTTATTGTTTTCTTCCCAGACTTTGTTCCAGAGTCTTCTCATCAGATTCAACATCCTCACCTTTTCCTTAGCATCTAGTACAGTCCGCCACACCCTAGCTACTCTACATCCAGGGGTGCATCCTTGTTTATCCACTTTTCTCATTGTGGGATTGAGTTACAATATCTTTCTTTGGTTAGGATCACTATTCTACCACATTCTCTCCCACTCTGGTGTGTTCTTCTCATTTTCCACTCTGATATCTTAAACATTCCACACATGGGCAAAGAGTATACCTGGCTCAGAAGTGGTACTGTTCCCCAAGTTTTGAATTATTTGGCCTACATATTCACTTTTAGTATCATCAGTTTCAAATCAGTCATGTTATTGAAATATTGTAATGCACTTATATCTTAGTTAGAAAGCCAGTTAAATTACAGTCGTTATATTCTTTGTGCATGTTATTATTTTGTGTTCTTAATAGCATATTTGAAATAAATAATTATTTTATGTAACAACATAAAAAAAAATAAGGTTAAGTTTCATTGGGGACCAAGAGCAAAAAAAACAAAAGGCCAGACATAAATACTAACTTTGTTTCTGTAAATTTTGATTTGCTTTTATAAAAGTATCTAAAATGTAAAAATTTAAAATCTATTAGGTTATATTAGAAAACATAAATGGAAAGAAATTAGATGAAAAGTTTTCAGCAAAGTCTGCCCACAAGCTGTATGTACATTATCTAATTCAATAATGTATCTTCCGTAATGTGTTTACCATGTTTTTTTATGGGTTTAGTAGTAAGACACAGTTCAAAGAGTAACAAATCAATAAATATGAACAGATATAAACTGTTTTGAGAGCTAAGCTGTTTAGGATAAATTGTTATAATTTTTTGTTACAATATGCAGTCATTCAACAAAGATGTTATTTAGATTTATTTCTTATTTTTTTCTGGTAGTTACAAGGCTGGTCAAAGGAACTGATTTCATATGGTAATAAGTAGAAATATAACAGATAAAATATAAAGTTTTACTGAAAAACGTTTGGTATTGATATATAGGTTATGCAAGAGGAATACGAACGCTGTAAAATGAAAAACTATTTTTTAATCTTAACACCTTGCACTCACTGACTCCACAAATCATAAATAAAAATTTTGTTTTTTGAGTATAAAAGATTTCTAATGTCAACTAAAACCTTACTAAATTTTGTTAAGATACACTCACTATATTAAAAGTTGTAATGTGTATAATTTCATAATTACATAGTAGTTGAATGGCGATTGCAATGCCAATCAAAATGACTGAGTCCATATATGTTGAGTTCCAGGACCAAGATGTTCTAGTTGAGTTTACAGGACCAAGATGTTCTAGTTGAGTTAAAGGACCAAGATGTTTTAGATGAGTTTACAGGACCAAGCTGTTTTAGATGAGTTTACAGGACCAAGCTGTTCTAATTGAGTATACAGGACCAAGATGTTCTAGTTGAGTTTACAGAACCAAGATGTTCTAATTGAGTATACAGGACCAAGATGTTCTTGTTGAGTTTACAGAACCAAGATGTTCTAGTTGAGTTTACAGGACCAAGATGTTCTTGTTGAGTTTACAAGACCAAGATGTTCTAGTTGAGTTTACAGGACCAAGATGTTTTTGTTGAGTTTACAGGACCAAGATGTTATTGTTGAGTTTACAAGACCAAGATGTTCTAGATGAGTTTACAAGACCAAGATGTTCTAGTTGAGTTTACAGGACCAAGATGTTCTGTTTGAGTTTAAAAAATATTATAGGATCAACAATACAACATAAAGAACTATTATAGAATTAGATGACTTTACATGACCCAGATTGTCTAGTTGAGTTTACAGGACCAAGATTGTTTAGTTGAGTTTACAGGACTAAGATGTTCTAGTTGAGTATACAGGACCAAGATGTTTTAGATGAGTTTACATGACCACGATGTTTTAGATGACTTTACATGACCCAGATTGTCTAGTTGAGTTTACAGGACCAAGATTGTTTAGTTGAGTTTACAAGACCAAGATTGTTTAGTTGAGTTTACAGGACCAAGATGTTCTAGTTGAGTATACAGGACCACGATGTTTTAGATGACTTTTCATGACCACGATGTTTTAGATTACTTTTCATGACCACGATGTTTTAGATGAATTTTCATGACCCAGATTGTCTAGTTGAGTTTACAGGACCAAGATGTTATTGTTGAGTTTACAGGACCAAGATGTTCTTGTTGAGTTTACAGAACCAAGATGTTCTAGATGAGTTTACAAGACCAAGATGTTCTAGTTGAGTTTACAGGACCAAGATGTTCTATTTGAGTTTACAGGACCAGGATGTTCTGTTTGAGTTTAAAAAAATATTATAGGATCAACAATACAACATAAAGAACTATTATAGAATCAATAACACAACATAAACTATTAGAGGATCTGCAGTGGCACAGCAAGAGGGGGGCAGTTGCTCCCAGGCACAGGTGTGAAGGGGCGTCAAATTTCCTCTGGCCTATAATGCCTATTAATTAATAATTATGCAATCCCCTAGGATATAGTGCCACTGCCCTACGTTAAGTAAATATGACAGTGTGTTACGTCATTTGTGTATATTAACGCTTGCAGTTTTAACTTTTAAAAGCCGCCCACTGAAATACAGTGAGACCAAATTGACATACAGAAGTAAATTACACTATTCCATCATTCATCTGTAGATCAAATACAAGTTCTAGAGTAAGTGTATGTTCAATAAAAAGAAAATATGAGATTGATGTAACATATTAACTGGTGTGCAAGATTGGCAATATATGCAACAGGCAAGATCTAGATCTAGTAAACATTATAGACCTAATGTAGTGGTTTGTAATTGTATTGACTGATTGTAAATCG